GGCAGCGAGCAACAGTGTCCCATAAAGGAGCTTTGCTTCACGCTGGTTGACTGAGCAGCTGTCTCACCTGGGTGGTGGTCTATGCTGACCCAGCTCTCAGCCAGGGAAGTTCAGAGCAAACGCTACTATGGAGTCAGTGCTGAGGCTCTGTGCAACCCTGGAAATGATTCACTTAACCTTCTCAACCTCTCCGCTCAGAGTACACACAGTACAGGAAGTTCGTTTAAATACTTTGAAATGGCACCAGTGGGGTCTTAAACACGATGGTGCAGTTGGCAGAAAGCCCAGCCAGGCCTGGGCCCATGAATGGCAGCCCTCAAATGCCAGCTGAGCGTTTCTGTGTGAAGGAGAAACAGTGCTAAAATGAAGAGCTCCAAAGAAGTAGGACCTACGTCATGTGGTGACCAGGAACAGAGGGCTAGCAGTGAGCAAGACTCACCTTCTAGTACCTTCTAGCACCTTGGTCCTTCAGAAGCAGAAAGCTTATGGGGAAGTAAACTTGAGGCACCTTGGTTCCTTTATTTGTGTAGTGAAAAGGGCTGAGTATGAATAATTTGAAGGGCCTGGCATGATGGCTTAGTGGCTAAATCCTTGTCTTGCATGTGCCAGGATCCTATATGGGCACCGGTTCTAATCCCGGCAGCTCCACTTCTCATCCAGCTCCTTGCTTGTGGCCTGGGAAAGCAGATGAGGACGGCCCAAAGCCTTGGGACCCTGCACCTGTGTGGGAGACCCAGAAGAAGCATCTGGCTCCTGGCTTCAGCAATGTCCAACTGGCCATGTGGGAAGTAACCAGCAGATGGAGGATCTTTCTCTCTCCTCTTCTCTGCAAATCTGCCTTTCCAATAAAAATAAATAAGTCTTAAAAAAAATCTGAGACTGTTTTCAGAATCCTCTCTAACCATGTACCTTTTTCAGGACTGCCACTCTCCCACGCCTCACACTGGCCCATGCTAATGCGGCATGCTCAGAGGTGCACCTTAGAATTAAAACCACAGGGAGACCTTCGAGCACACAGTAAGCCTAGGGGTGGGCATTCGGCTTGGCAGTTAAGATACTGCCTGAGACACCTGCATCCCACATTAGAATACCTGGGCTCAATTCTCAGCTCCAGTCCTCATTCTAGCTTCCTGCCAATGTGTATCACTGGAGGCAGAAGGTAATGATTTAAGTAACTGATGTTCTGCCATTCACATGGGAGATTCAGGTTGAGGTTTTAACTCCTGGCTTCAGGCTGGTCCAGCCCTGGCTATTACATGCATTTGGGGAGGGAATCAATGAATGAGAGATTTGTTTGTTCTGTCTCTTTCAAATAAACAAATAAAAATATAAAGATAATCAGACAAATCTAGACGCTTTATCTTTGTTCAGAAACTGAAGTAGAGCCAGTGTTACAGCACAGTGGGTTAAACCACAGTCCAACGCTAGCTCCATACCACAATGCTGGCTCCAATCCCAGCTGCTGTGCTTCAGATCCCGCTTCCTGCTAATGCAAATGGCAAGGCATCTGAGGGGATCCCAGTGTGGGGTTCCTACACTTGTATGGAAGACCTAGATGGAGTACCTGGCTTCTGTCTTCAGCCCGGCCCAGCCCTAAGCCAGTGAAAGAGATTCTCTCTCTCTCAAATAAATATTTAAAAAGAGAACTACAGTGCTCACTTTGTGTCAAAGTCTGACTCTAGGTACTTCCTACACCAACTCACTCACTGCTCCCTCGTCCTCTCTGAGCGCAGATACACGGATCAAGAGAGGACACCGAGGCTAACAAGGAGTCCCCTGTCCAAAACCACGCAGCTGCTTGGAAGCAGGACCAGGATTTGAACTCGGCCATGCAGCCCTGCGGCACTCCCTCAGAACCATCATCTGACACTTGAATGGAAAAAAGGAAGGCCATGGTGGACGAAGGGACAGCTTGAGCATCTTAGAAGAAAATGAGCTTTGGGGATGTGGGGGTGGCATTGTGGTGTAGCATGTTAAGGGAGGGAATTACAGAATGATTAGAGGTATGCCCCAAGCACGAGTGTCTGCTGGGCACTGAGCGTATGAAGGCTCCCTGCATGTGGCTTCTTCAGTGTAAGCGTAAGATTTGCTACCAGCTGAACTGGAGGAAAAACCTCCTAGGTGATTCCATCGTGTAGTCAGGGCCAAGGGACACTGCCCTAAAATCCTAAAAACATAATAATGTGCTCCGTCCGCTTTTACCACTTACAAAGTACTTAACCTAGCTTTAAGGCACTGAGCTAGTCACCTAACTCTTTTGTTCTACTTTCCTAAACCACAAAACAACCGATATGGGTTAAGAAACTTAAAAAAAAAAAAAAAGGCAAAGTACCAAAGAGCCTGTTTACCAGGTGGGTGTGCTGGGACAAGTGCATCCCATAGCGAAGTGGCAGTTCGGGTCCCGGTTCCTCCACTTCTGACCCAGGTTCCTGCTTGTGCAACCTGAGGGGCAGGTGTTGGTGGCCCAAGCCCATGCGCTCCTGTTTTCCTGTGGGAGACTCAGATGGACTCTCAGGCCCCTGGAATTGTCCTACCCTGCCGTAAGGTGCTGGGGGCATTTAGGGAGCAGAGCAGCAGATGGAAGCTCACTCTCTCTTGCTCACTTGCTCGCTATGCCTTTCAAGCAGATGAAAATAAACAAGCATTAAAGAAAAAAAAATCATTCTGATGTTCTAACATATTCTCTCTAAAAATTAATGTCCCAGCTAACACCCAGAGGATGGCTCAAAGCCTTAGGACCCTGTACCCACCTGGGAGACCCTGGCTCCTGGCTTTGGATTGGCTCAGCCCCAACCACTGCAGCCATTTGGGGTGTGAACAAGAGCACAGAAGTTCTTTTTCTCTGTAAATTTGCCTTTCCAATAAAAATGACTAAATCTTGAAAAAAAAAAGTAACACTGATACAATGGCAGAAACCACCTTTTTTCTTTAAGAAAGACAATACACATTGTAATTCTAAAAGGAATAGCGATGGATTGCGGGAGAGACCCTCATTGCATAGGACTGGTTATGAGAAACACAGCACTCCCAGGTCAGTGGGATCCCAATCCTAGTTAAGGAATATGGCATCTTTATCCTCTGGCAAGCTCATTAGAACAAGGATTCAGGGGTGGGCATTTGACACAGTGGTTAACTCGCATTTTGGGACTTCCGTAGCAGAATGCCTGGTTCAAGTCCTGGCCACTCTTCTTATAATATAGTTTTCTGTTCATGGGTACCCTGGAAGGCAGCAACTGATGGCTCAAATACTTGGGTCCCAGCCACCCAAGTGGGTGACCTGGTTTGTGTTATGGGGTCCTGGTGTCAGCCTGGCTCAGCCCTGGTCATTGTGGGCTTACTGTAACTAAACTGGCAGATAAAAGATCTCTGTCTTCCTGCTTTCAAATGAAACGAAAATAAATGTATTTTTAAAATGCCTGTTTATTTATTTATTTGAAAGGGAGGAGAAGACAGAAATAGAGACATCTTCCCTCCAGGGGTTCACTCCCCACATGGCTGCAAAGGCCAGGGCTGAACCTCCTGGTCTCCAATATGAGTGTCAGGGGCCTGACTACTTGGGCCAACTTCCACTACTTTCAAGTGCTTCATCAGAACAAGAGCAGCTGGGACTCAAAGCAGCCCCTTGCGGGATGCCAGCATTACAGGTGGCAAGGCAACCTGACGCATCGCTAAGCTTGCCCCACACATAGTAAAGTTTGAAAGATTCACAGACCACACCACAGACTCAGAGGGAAGATGGGAGAACTTGCAGGAAAACAAGACCAAAGGGATCCTAATGTGAGTCAGGCTTTGTAGACTATAACACGATAAAGTAAGATAATAATACATGCAAGGTCCCGTTCTTGCCGACTAATGTGAAAGACCATATGTAATAGTTTTGCAAGCAACAGCCTTAGGAATGTAAACATTTTACGATAACTAAGTACTAAAATGTTAAAGGTGCTGGCAAATTTAAATCTGCCATATAACTAATGACTATCCTGTAATTAAGCAGGCACTGCCTGTACTACTAACTGAAAAGTAATTGGTAGCGATCTGCAATCCATCATTGCGGATTTCTTCACATCCATCATCCTCTCTCACCAGAGTTAATGACCAGGGTCATTTTGTTAAACAAACCCAAGGCGTGCCATTCACTTAAGTGGCCTCTCCAAGGCAGAGCTCCTGACATTTCCTTCATATGATACTATTCTAGGGCACCAGGAGGACAAACCCTTCGTGGCTGAACACTTTGGGAGATGTATTTCCTTATTCCTTGATGCCCACAGAGCTGTGCTCTGCAACACCCTGGCTGATGACACATTTAGGGGCTTAGAAGAAGTACCTGCTTACTGTTATTGATAATCACACATCTGGCCCATGCTCCTAAGTTACGGAGTACCTTCACCTGGTTACTAGCTGCTGCTTTCTTCACCAAGCCTTGCAAGTTAAGTACGTGTAATTGTTTCCATACATTTCAACCAAGAAAAACCACTGCCTGAGCTTTGTAGGTAATAATGGAGATTCCAGATCTCCTGCTTTACAAAGAAATGATAACCTACCAGGAAACACTGCAAATTAGACTCCGGAAACAGCTAAAGTCAACTCAAAGATATTATGCTGCTAGAGCAAATTAGTATGTCAAGACTTAGAACACACTAATAATAGCTAACGTTTGCTGAGCAATTTCACTGTCACTCAGCCCTTGGGGTCAGTTTCTATTATCAGCCCCATGCTGCACATGAAGAAACAGAGAAACTAAGCAACTCGCCCAGGCAGAAGAGTGGTGAACCAGGATTCAAAGTCCAGCTTAGATTAACACTGTGAACTGCTCTTTTTCACATTTTAAAGCTGTGAAAGGCAATTCCTTTAAAGCAGTGGGAATATATGCCAATTCTTAGAGAATGACTGCTTCCCATAAAGCTAGGGTCACTGGCTATCCTGGCCAGAAGAAAAGGATTCAGGGCTTACAAAAAATCAAAACACTGACTTGGCAATAGCAACCCACTGCAGCCCGTTACCTCTTTGATTCGTTTCACCAACGCATTCTGATCGAAAGCCACGGCCTCTGCACACTGGTGCAGGTGGTCCTGGTACCGGAGGCAGAGCTGCAGCACCTGCTGAGAATCTAGTTTCTCCAACTTGGTATTTGTTGGGGAAGTCTGGCCGCTCAAAAGCCCTGAAAAAAGGAAGAAAACAGAAATAAATACAATGGAAACTGTTGCCAATAAACTTGCGAATAAAAAAAAAGTTTATTAAGCAGATACAGTCATCTTGCCTCTTTTGTTATTGAGTCACTACAATGATCATAAAATGAAGTATGTGCAAAGCCCTGCTGTCCACCCTTGAACAGTTTTTTATATCTGTAACTGCCTCAGACAGGGACTACCAGCTCCACCTTCAAGATGATGAAGCCAAGACACAGTGAGGTTAAGTAACTTTCTGAACACCACACAGCAGGTAAGTGGTTTTCTCAAGACACAGCTCCAGAAAGCAGTTTTGCAGTGCAGTGGATTAAGCAACGTATGTGTATCTGAGTATCTGGATTTGAATCCCACACCCTTGGAGGCAGAAGGCAAGTTACTTGGAGCCCTACCACTGACATGGGAAATGCGGATGGAGTTTCTGGCTTCAACTTGGCCCAAGCCTGGCTGCTGGGTTATTTGGAGAGTGAATCAGTAGATGGAAGATCTCTGTCTCTCTGCCTTAAACAGTAGCTGCAACAACAACAAAATCAGGGCTCAGCATTGTGCTGCAGCGAGTCAAGCCACCCCCTGCAACGCCAGCATCCCACATGGGCACCAGTTAATGTCTCAGCTGCTCCACTTCCAATTCACCTCCTGCCTAATGCACCTGGGGATGCAGCAGACACCGAATCCCCACGGGGACCCAGCAGGAGCTCAGTGCTGGAAGGTGGGAGGCGTATGGGGTGGGGGTGTGTCTGTGTGTGCGTGCATGTCTTCCTCTCTGTGTAACTCTGACTTTTGAATTAATAAATAAATCTAAAATACAATAAAATAGGTAAAGCTGCTGAATTATCACACTAACTCAAGGCGTAAATCCCATCCCATAAAGTGCTTGGTAACACTGAAATTAATGCCTTTTCATAATTCAGAGTTGTCTCAGGAAATGAGAAAAAGTAATAAGACCTGTAAGATAACTGCTGGAAGGTGGTGCAAGTTGGAAAAAAAAACGGCCTGTCAGGTAACATGTCAGAAACTCATTTCGCACAATTTCTTTCAGCATCAATTTAGTTATAAACTAGTTAAATTCTCCTACCTAGGGGTAAAGGACATGATATTTTCAAAGTCTTCCATCTATCTATCCAGATTCCTCACTTTTCTTTAAGGAACAGGATAATTATTAATGCTACAGAGGAAGAAATCAACTCGAGAGGCAGGGGGAGTTGTGCAGCTCACCCCGCGCGGCCCTGAGCAGAGCCGGGCCTCGACCTGCAGGCACTGCGTCCCGCCAGGGTGGCAGCTCCGGGGCAGCCTGCTGTCAGAACCAGCGGCACTGTGCCAGTGGCGACTGAAGACTTCCAAGAGCCTTTATTTATGTAGGTCAAGCTAATGCCATTCACTTAACAAAATTAAAACTGAGACTGTCCTAAATACTAAAATATCTTCAAATAATAACCCCAATACATGACAGTATATTTTAAGGAGAATAATTGCATTTTTAAACATAAAAAGTGAGAGGAATGACACTAGCTTAGATTGCTATGTCTTTCTCTGCCTGCAATAGTGGAAAACAGCTCGGTTACCATAACTACTTTCTATAGCTACTATTCATTTAAGATTATACTTATTCATTTTTATTGGAAAGGCAGATCAGATTTACAGAGGAGAGACAGAGAGGAGAACTTCCATCTGCTGGTTCACTCCCCAAATGGCCACAATGGCAGGAGTTGAGCCGACCCAAATCCAGAAGCTTCCGGGTCTCCCACATGGGTGCATGGTCCCAAAGCTTTGGGCCATGCTCTATTGCTTTCCCAGGCCACAAGCCGGGAGCTGGATGGGAAGTGGAGCAGCCAGGGAATGAACCAGTGCCCATACAGGATTCTGGTGCTTCCAAGATGAGGATTTAGCCACTGAGCCATTGCGCCGGGCCCTCGTACGTACTTCTGTATTTAACCCATTGTTATTTTCCTTCAAGAAACCTCTTAAAACTCCATCATACACTTGTGAGAAAATGAGGAAAGAATGTCTACTATGACAAGAACAGTTTTGACCTCAGAGATTCCCCAAAGGGTCCCAGGGAATCTCCTGCCACACCTACAATCACCAGATCAGGCTATCTCATTATAGAGTCAGCACTGTACCCAAGGTACACCCAACGTCTTATGACAACGGGGCTCACGGTAGGGAGGGCCAGGACAACACACCCAGCAGGCATTCCCGCTCCCCAGGCACAAACATGAACCCTCGCTGCTCTGAGGTGATGGGGCTTAAGCCAACACTCCCCCATGCACCCTCACCAACGGCTTTGATGCCCTACCCAGTCGGACTCTCAGAATCCGTGGACACACTGTCAGTGCTTTCAGCTCTCCACCCTGGCCTGAAGGGGCAGAGGGTGGGGCTGGAAGGCCAGGTGTTCCTCAGCTCCCCACCTGCCATGGCATCTGTCGGCTGATTCATTTTTGATTTTAGGATCTTCACATAACTTTACGTAATTTCCCTTAGTGACAACATCTTGCAGAATTAGTACACACAATACAACCCTCCCCCAGTTGTTCAGAGCCCCACTCTGCTACCCATCTCTGCATGTGGTCTTCGTTCTCCAGTCTTTCCACAAGAGGATCTTACTTCCCGCACCGCACACACTGAGAAGTCGCATCATCACGAAAGCTGCATGTGTGACTTATACAACCACACATGACCCCCATTTCCCACTCCACCCTTCAGCCCGGCAGCTGCTCCCTGTTTTAACAGGTTTGTCTTTTCAAAACTGCAATATAAATAGAATAAACAATATATTACCTTTAGGATTAAGTTGTGTTTTTGTTTCACTCAAGGTAACAACATTAGGAAGCCATCTCTCTGACTGAGGCATCAAGAGTTGACTCTTTTTCATTTCTGAGTAGTATTCCATGGTGTGCATGTGCCAGAGTAGGTGTGATCACCCACCCACTGAAGGGCACTGGGGCAGTTTCCAGTTTAGGACTATCACCAACGAGGCTGCTCTGAGCAGTCAGGTAGAGATTCCTATGTAAATTAAAATTTTTATTTCTCTGGAAAATGCTCCAAATCCAAGTCTTCGGTCATAAGTACCATGACATGTAACTATGTGAACAAACAAGCTCTCTCTGCATTTTTCAGGGGGAAGAACACAGGAGGTATTATAATTTTTTTAAATGCATGGAATAGTGCTTAGGGTGATGGCACGGACGAGTTCCCTGCGAGATCTTGCTGCCAGCTGCTTGCATCTTCATTCCTTGCAGAAGGAATATTTTACTTGCATTTTCTTTTGATTGGATATAAGTAGAAGGGATTGTTTTTCTTAATACTAGACATCACGTGGACATCTTTTTCCTAAAATGTATCTGTTCTTATTAATTATAACTTAACAATGTTGCCTTGGAATTTTAAGCTCCTAGTGAGAACTTTATTTCTTATCACAGAATGCTCTCCTGTCCGAGTGATCCTGTACCCCATTACTACTTCTTATTATTGGGGTGCAATAAGGAAGCCAAGAGTTAACACCTAAAAGAAGGGAAATCTCTCTGGCAAATAAAAGCTCTAGTGTTAGTATTTCAGATTTTTTCACATCCTTTTCTTGCACTTCCTTTGTTTCATTTAAAGTAGAACTGTGACTGGTTTTGGTGAAACTTTCAAAAAAAAGTTTTCAAGTGACTTTATTGTGGTTGCTCTTGACTTTGTGAACAGCCTGTTATCTTTCACACTTTCACAGTCAATGTACTTCGGGAAATGTAAACTGCTTTTTTTTAATGCAAAGTTTATTCTGGTCCCTTCTTTTCTTTTTTTTTTTTTACATTTTTTTCAGAATGATTTTAAACTTACCAAACAAAAACTATCTGTATGCCATATACTTAACTTCCCTATTAATGGTAATACATTTATCATCATCACTCACATGCAGCACCCCATGTTAACATTCCACATTAGTAATGTGTCTCAATGAACCATGCCCAGCATAAAATCTGTACATCTAAAATTGTGTATATTTCAGTTGACTTTTAAAGCATGCTCAGTTGCAGAAAGCAAGTTCTTTCAGGACAGGAAGAATGAGGAAAACACTGGAGTGTTCATGTCTCATCACATGGAGAACCCCTGTTCTTAGAGATGCCTCAAGCACCCGTTTGTCCATGTAGGTAGTCCTTGTTCCAGAACAGTGCAGCCGGGGCCTTTCTGCCTTCCTCAGGGAGGGCGGTTATGAGGGTTCTCATCCAAATTGGTAGCATTTGTAATACTGATCGCTGCTTTTATTTTCACGCCGAGAACAAGGGCCTTCTTAATTCCAACATCGCTTCCTGTGAACAATTTCTTGTTGGCCCAATCCTGAGTTCGCAGTGTAGAAAAACCCTTCAGCTGCCTCCCTTTAGCAACAGTTTTCCAAGTGGAGACTTGGAAGAGGACATGGCAGGGAGCTTGTCTCAAGCCCTGGTTTGACTCCTGGCTGCTCTGCTTGCATTCGGCTTCCTGCTGCAGTGCCTGGGAAGGCCAAGTGTGCCTAAGTCCTGGCTACTTTCGTGGAGACCCAGACGGAGCCTGTGGCTCCTGGCTTTGGCCAGGCTCCATCCTGGCAGTGGTGGCTGTTTGGGGAGTGAGCCAGCAAGGTGGAAGTTCAATCTCTCTCTGTCACTCTGCCTTTCAAATAAATAAATCTTATTAAAAAGAGGAACAAAACAGCAACTCTCTATTTTCTTTTTCCTCCTAGCCCCTTGCAACCACCATTCCGCTTGTTTCTCTGTGAATGCTCTAGGCAGATGGCATCAGACAGTTTGCCATTTGGGGACTCATTTTATTTAGCATAATGTCCTTCAGGTCCATTCATATTGCAGTATTTGTCCGAATTTCCTTTGAAAGGCGAAATCACATTCATTGCATACATACATGTAGTATGTGTAAATATAAATATATGTATTCACACATGTATACATATACAGTGGAACGTTCAGCCTCTCAAAGGGATTCTTAAGGCCACATTTTGCTTATT